CCCCGAGGGGGGATGGCCATGCCGCAATCCCTTCTCCTCCATTCTCCTCTCGGGATCTTGGGCACGCACACACACGCGCCCAGCATGAGTTTAAGCCACCGGGTCCGGGACTCGAACCGCAGTCGACTACGTGGGAGTCCAGCAACATAGCCATTACGCTAACTGCTGGTCCCCCCTACGATACACTCTTAAAAGACAAAAAAAAAAAAATTACATTGAGGTTCTCCAACTTCAAGTGTAGTTGCTAAGACATATTCCTGGCTTTTCTTTCTTCTTTTTTCTTTTTTTTTAAAGATTTATGCATTTATTTATTTGTTTATTTATTCCTTCATTATAGTTTGATCAGACAGAGATACAGAGAGAGAGAGGAAAGTGAGAAAGCAAGCCACCAGGTCCAGGACTTGAACCGTGATCAGCCATGTGGGAGTGTCCAGCGCCTTAACCACTATGCCGCCTGCTGGTCCTAGAAAGTGAGAAAGCAAACTGCCAGTTCCAGGACTTGAACCATGGTCAGCCATGTAGGAGCCCAGAGTCTCAGCTACCAGGCCACCTGCTGGCCCTGGCTCCTTTCTTCTTCATAAAACTTTACAGTACATCCCTGTGTTCCTTTCCCTTGAAATTTGAAAGGAGCTAACATAGCTTTAAATGGAAAAGATTAAGGCTTCCCTCTGAAAACAGAGACAAGAGGGCACAAGTTAATGATATTTTTTGAAAGGTTAGATTAAATTACGGAGGATAAGCTGTAAATCATTACTAAACGAAAGTAGAACACGTTGGGTTTTGTCACTACCCTTTGAAGTTGACATCAAGGACAATACCACAGCCTTCTACATACCCTTGAATTTCTCTGCCAATGACAATATTGGGCTTAATGAGCCATGTTCTGATGAGACATGATAATTTTTGTTCTTATGTACGTAAGTACTTGATCATCGCATCTCAAAATACTAAAACCCCTTGAAGCTTGAAAGAGATTTAGGACTCATAAATGACAGTTTTAATATATTCTGCTTACATTACGCCTTAGAGTTTGCAGACAATTTCAGCTGTATCTCATGATCCTCACACTATCTCTGCAAGGTAGGCAGGTAGTGGGGTAGGCATGTAGCGCAGGAAACAGAGCGGCAGGGAGATTAAAAGACTGTCTTGAGTTCACAGAGCTATTAAGGAGTGGGAGCAAATTCATACTCAGGTCTTAGGACTTTTAGTTCCATGCTACTTTTCCTAAACAATGAGTGGAAACTTTTAGAACTTACTCCCAGAGGCAGAACAGTCTGGTCTTTACAGTTTGTTTATTTTGTTCACGATAGCATGTGTGTATGCGCAAGAAGTGGGGTCATGCTTGACAGGGTCTTATCAAGTCAAGATCCCCTTTCCTCAGTCTTCCAGCTCATCAGGATCCTGGGCCTGTGTGCCCTGCCTGGTATGATGTCAGGGTAACCAGGGGATTTGAACCCACAGTCAGTCTTGTGGCCTCTAGCACTACAGATCAGCTTGGTACTGACTACATCGCCAGGCTGGGCCACCAGCTGGACTTTAGTTTTGAGAAAGATTCAAGTGCGAAGTAAAACTACCCTGCAGAAAAGTGAGCACACCTTGTGTTCAGGGAGTCCTTTGCCATCAACCATAGAACTTGATTATTCTGGATTTGGATTCAAAATCCTCTCAGCATAGTGCTCTGGGGGCTACCATCAAAAGATCAAAGCATATGATTTTAAACCTATTTTCATGAAGAGAAGGTTCACTGGGGCTTAACCAGAAAAGTTGGAGGGATCTGAGGTGGAGCCTGCTGATGCTTACCAAATACATGCCAGCCTTTCTCCTAGGCAAATTTCCCAGCCTCCCTTGCAATTAGATGATGCCACCTGATTGAATTCTGGCCAATGGATCATGAACAGGAATGGGCGATCTTTGTCCTTCCCACCTGCTGAGTGAATGGAGAGGACTCTCAAGATCTAGAAGGCAGCAGACACAAGATGGAAGTTTGGCCCATTGATGGCTGAATGGAGCAGTCCCTCTCCCTCCACCCCGTTCCACCCTATGCCCTCATTTGAACTATGCTTTGAGAAATGAGTTTATCCTGAGGCCTCCGAGACTTGAGAGCTGCTTGTCAGTTCTCCTACACATTCTGATAAAGGCTGACTTCTTGTGACTATGTCCTTTCTTATTTTATTTATTTATTTATTGAGAGGTTTTTGCTATAGGGCACGTGTGCTTGCCAGACAGACAGAGAGAGACAGAGAGACAGAAAGCGAGAAATCACCCCCTGGGGGGATGGCCATGCTGCAATCCCTTCTCCTCCATTCTCCTCTCGGGATCTTGGGCACGCACGCACACGCACCCGGCATGAGTTTAAGCCACCGGGTCTGGGACTTGAACCGTGGTCGACTACGTGGGAGTCCAGCGACATAGCCATTACGCTAACTGCTGGTCCTGACTTTGTCCTTTCTTAAATCGTCCTTGGTATCATTCTCAGCAGCTCTGCTGGTTTGTGTGTTCTCCTCATTCATTTCTCACATTCCAATGTTTAAAACCTCATGAGTGTTCATCACAGTGGGTTTCTTTTTCTCTTTCTGCTGTTCACCATACTCTTCCTGCTTGGGAGAAATCCCTAATTGGATGAGTAGGTAGCACCGCAGGTGTACAAGGCTCAACTGCTCCCTCATTCCATCCCCTAAAAATTAAGCTTCAACACTGGACCTAGACTCACTCAGCTGGAAGTGGCTATCTGGGACTTTAATCTTCATCAAATGAGGCAAAGCCTTCAGGACAATGGAGAAATAAATCGGAATAAATCTGAAGCCACAACACCAAATTCAGCTAGATTCCTGCAGTATGTATTGCAGGAATCTAGTTCCTACCCATTTTCCAAGCCTCGTTGCTCTGATTAGGCAGATTCTGTGAGGTTCGTCATACCTAATCGAGCAATGCCTTCTCTGCCTCAGTTAGCCCAAGTTTACTGCTATTGCTCCTACCATGTGTTCATGTGTGAGTGCATGCATGCATACATGCACAGTCCACAGGAACAGTCCAGCACCAAGCGTTCTTTGCCAGGGCGACCTTTCCCAGACATAAATTTGTTCATGATTTTCTCCTGTTTCGAAAGAGTCAGTGATTCTTTATCCTTTTCAAGAAAACACACTGCATTTTAGCATGGCATCTGAGAACGTTTGTACATCTCTTGTTTCACCTCTCATCACCTCTGCTCTGCTATCTTAGGCTGGTTCCTGGGCTCACCATTTCTCATTGTACTAACCAGGCACTTGGCTGTTGTGCTTTTAACTGTCTTGGCCCTTTAGCAAGTTCCTATATACTCCTCATACTTTAGCTAAAGAATTACCTTCTGCATGACATAGCTTGAGCACTGGAGGAAATGTACACTTATAACCCTTGTTACACTGCACTGTAATTGATCACAAGTTTATTCTTCCTGCTAAATTATAAACTTCTTGAGGACATCATCTGCTGACTCATCTACATAGAATGACACCTGGGAGACTTCTAGGCAGGCGCCTAGCAGATGCTCGATAGGCGTTTGTTGACTGACTACTGACTGAATGAATGAACATGAGCTGATATCTCTAAGGCTCTGATGATCAGCACAAGAATTATTCTAGAACTACAATAAAGAATATCTAATATTCTAGTCCAAGCTACACAAATGTGTTCTAGAAAAAAAGACATTGGGTATCATGAAATAACTTTTAATGTTTTAAAACTTAGTGAGTGCACACAATACATGTTTCAGCAGAATGAAAATATATGTATGGCGTTTAATATTTGCATTACAAAACAAGACCATATTAGGAAAACCTCAAAAGTAGAAGTAAACATGTAAGTAAAAACCAAATAAGCAACATGCTAAGGGATATGATTTTTAAAATCCTAATAAATGTAGTTGCTTAAATCCAGAGTTGAGACACTGTGATTTACTTTGCTACTTAAAAAAAAAAAAAAAGCAGAATGCCCTTCATTTTAAATGCATTTTTAAAAATGTTTGCACATTGTTTTCCTGCTAAAAACTACAATATAATCAAGTATATAAAAGAGTATCAGCTGGATTCCAATCTGATAGTTAAAAAGTACACTACCTGCTAGGTATGCAGTTCACCTCAAAAAGCAATATAAAACTCCCCTATATATTAGCTTTCATGAGTACAGTTGAAAACTACTACAGTTTAAGGGAAAACGAAAAAAAAAAAAGTCTTCAGCACCTTATGGTTTCTAAGCATAGGAAAATGTGGATAAAATGAGATCACAGGAAGAGGGAAAAAATGAGTAAGACGAATGATGTGGTCTTTAGTAAAATTGCACTTACACACAGTTGCCTAAATGGACAGAATGCTGCGTTATGTGCGGGGCTGTGTGAAAGACAGACTGACACTCAGAACGCCCTCAAATTCCGGCAGACGCTCCCAAATGCAAAGACTGGAGATAATTTAGCCAAACAATCACTTTCTGGAACTTTATAAAAGTAACATCATGGTGATGGGGGTTGTGGGGAGGAAAAGGGGCTTGGGAAAGAAATGATCCTCTACTTCCTACCCACTTCTCCCCAAGTGATGAAGGTTCAATGAGTCCTTAGAAAACAAAATAATCAAAAAATGTATTTAATATAAATACAGCACTGTCTAGACCAAATACTCCCTGACCGTAGTGCTTCCTTCAACACTCCAGAAGGAGTCTGCAATTCCAGGACAGCACATTTCCCTAACATTCCAATGACAACTGGTGTCCAGCTTTGCAAAGTTGGATTTAATGCTCAAGAATGGCAAATGATAACGAGACAGAAGAGCATCTTAGCAGGGTAAAGATTGAATCGGCATTTGCTAGTTAAATTACATGGCTGAGGAATCCAAAGTTTAATGATTTCTTTTTCTGATGTGAACTTGACAGAGAACAAGATCTCATTTTATTGTTAATGGCTCTTCCTCTCATCACAAGTAAACCAATTCAAACCGGTCCTGCCTTACGTAAAAATACTAAAATCTTACATAAATCATATCAATGGCCTGAGAAATGCAAAGACTTCACTAAGAAATTTGTGCAAAAATTGTTTTTCTCAGAGACCAGGATAATTTGTAAGAAGAAACCAACCTATAGAATAAAATTTTAGAAGGGATTTGGTTCTATTTTCACTAAGGGAACAGAGGAGTTTTTATCTAAAAGTTGTAGACAGCATTAAAATGCACTTAATAAATCGAAATTCTAAATAAATACTGACAACTGGCATTGTAAAATGTGACTTGAAACATTTGTAGAATTTGAAGACTTACTATGTATGTTCTATTACATATTAATAAAATGTAATGGTACACTTTAAATATAATTTGTATCATTTATTCAGAACATCGATTCCCTTGGTTATTCTCACAACTTTCAACCCTATAAGAAGTTGTACCCATGTTAAAAATCATTAGATTTGATAGTGACAAGTAAGGAAAACAACTCCTTATGGGTTGAATAAATAAGCCAAGTACAAATGCTTAAGAAAACATTTATAAGTATTACGTAGGTAATATAATTAATTACAAATTGCTTTCTGTTCGTTAAAAATGTCTATTTTAAACTTGAAAATGACGTAGAAATAGGGCCTATGTGATGTGCGTGTCTTCTGTAATGCTACTGGGTAACACGGAGTCAGGCTAACGCTGCACCACGGACAGCACTGAAGACGAGCTGCAGCTAGGATGCCATCGGTGGAAATGGACTTGGTACCACAGTGCTGGATTTCCAATCTCCTATCCAGTGTCAGGTCCCCTTTAGTTGGTAGGAGGTGAAGCAGCCACCTTTCCCATGGCTTCCTCGCTGAAGAGCAGCTTTCGCAATATGTTTGCATAGAATGGTCCATACACTTGTTTGTTGAGATTCACAATGTTTGCATACTGAGAGCCCAGTGTTTCTAGCTCCTGCTAAATGAAGTGAGGCCTCATGGGAGGCATGCATTTTTGAGGGCTTGGAAGACAAAGCAGGCTTTTCATATATAGCTGGATTCGTTTATCTGAAGGAAAAAAACAAAAACAAAAACAAAAACAGGATTTGTTTATCTACCCCTTATTAAAGTACATCATTTTTTAAAGTTTTTGTGTGTGTGTGTTTTGTTTTTCCCTTTTTTGCCATAGGGCATGGGTGCTCATCAGAGAGAGAGGCAGAGACAGTAAAAGGGAAAGTGAGAAATCACCCACTCCCAGGGGATTGTGGCCATGCTACAATCACTTCTCCTCCATTCTCTTTTCAGGATTTTAGGTATGAGCACATGTGCCCAGCATGATTTTCAAGTTGCTGGGTCCGGGACTCGAACCACAGTAGGTTATGTAGGAATCCAGCGCCTTCACTGTCATGCCACCTGCTGGCCCTAAAATGCATCATTTTTAAAAGCAAGAACAACTAACTGTAGTAGGCCGATTGCAATAATGTTTCTAGTTCTTGGCCCCTCCCTGTAACCATGCCCTTTACCAGGTGGCTTTGCAGTTGCAGTTCCTCCTATCAAGGGCTGCGGTCTATTTCTCCATCTCTTGGATCTGGACTTTATGACTTGCTTTGATTAATACAGAATGTGGTTCAAGTATCAGCATGCCGGGGCTAAGCCTAGGCCTCAACAGACATGGCTCACTTCTACTCTCTCTATCTATATCTAACACCACCATATGAACAGGTCTCTACTTGTTGGAGGATGGGAGACATGTGGAGAGAAACTCAGCTGTTCTATCTGTGCACATCCTAGACCAGCCTGTGGTCGATCAATTTCCAAACACCTGAGAGATCCCAGCCAAGATCAGCAGAGCTACATCCCCAGGCCACAACTGACCACAGATACATGAGTGAGTCTGACCATAGGTGTGTAAGTGAATCTGGCAAGAGCAAGAGAACTACTCCATGGCCCCCCCAGGTTTGGAGTAATAATAAATGCTTATTGTTTTAAGCTTTGGATTTGAGGTAACTTGTTATGCAGCAACAACTGACTGATAGGAAAATGTAGAACCCTGTGGGGAAAGATAAGCAATAAAATTAATTGGTAATATTCACAACTGTAGTTATGTACCCTAAGGCTGAGTGTGTAAACTGGTACTACTAATTTGGCCCACACAGTATTTTTCAAAAACTAGAAGCCATTTAAAATTAGAAATCCAAATTTCTGGTTCTTGAAATATCCAGAGATCTGACAAACTCGAGGGTCCAAATTACTACATGGCAAGGGTGATCACACATTAGGTTTCCCTAGAACAGGCAAAAGTTCACATATGTTATCCTGGAATAATTAGAAAGAGCTCTAAAAAATGTCCTGGTTAGTCAATAAACTATACAGACACCCTACACATGCCCAACAACATGACATTCTATGACATTAATGAAACTCTTATCTTCAGACATTTCTCCCCAAAACACTTGTTCCAGCCAGATCTGACCTAGAACTCAAAGTTTCCAATGCCATGTTTAGAATTGCTTCCTCTTACTAGGACGCCCTTCCATTCATCTCATCTGTGGGCTTCCCTACTCTCTGTTGGCAGACTACCTGCCATATTACTGTAGCTCGAGAATACCATGCCCATGCTGCTGCTTGAGATGCGTCTTCTCCCTTTTTAGACAACAAACTCTTTGAAAGTGAGGGCTATGTCCTTTTTAATCTTTGCATCCCTGCTCTGGCACGTGGCAGGTACATCATAAATGCTAACTGAGTTTAAGTAAGAATGGAATGAAAAAAGATCTATAAACACCAAACTGAAAACGATGAGAGCCAGGGGGAAAATGGGGAATGGAGAAGGCAGGCAAAGATGACTTGAGCATTGTCTGTACTTTTTCAACAAGGAGAAGTTATTCATGTATCATTTATGTAACTGAAAATTACTTTTAAAAAATCATAGATGGTGAGTCAGCAGGTGGCGTGGAGATTAAGGCACTGGACTTCCGACAGTGAACCATGCTGACTGCATGGTTTGAGTCCTGGACCAGCAGCTTGAAAACACACCAGATGGGTGTATGCGTGTACCCAAAACTCCAGAAGAGTGGAGGAGAAGGGATTGTGGTGTGGCCACCCCCCGGGGGTGATTTCTCACTTTCCCTCTTTCTGTCTGTGCATCTCTCTCTGGCAAGCACATGTGCTCTATTGCAAAACTTAAAAAAAAAAAAAAAAAAAAAAAAGGCTATACGCTATACCTTAGGCATGGAAATAATCTAATAATGTACATAACAAGTAATCTATAAATAATTTTTACCTGTTTTTGCAAGCATTTGGGAAAAAATGGCTTGAAAGAAAACTCCCTTCCTAATTATCTTTTTAAAGGTTAGGAATGCAGTAGAAATTGTAATCCCTTTGGTAAATAAATAGCACATTGACTAAGAACAAAAGAAGGTTGACTATGCATACACTGGACAGGTTAAGAAAACCATGCTAACACTGGCCAAGCCCGTCTTATGTCTTAGGGACCTAAGTATTTAATTTAGTCTAACTCCTCCAGAAAATTAAGAGTTAACTGGGTACTAAATTTCCCCTTAGCCAGGCTGCCTGATTCTCACAGGCCTAGGTCTATATCCTCCACAGATATGATCCAAATACTTTCTTGCAATAAGGTTTAAAGAATGAAGCCTTTTGAAGCCGTTATTACACCAACAAGTGGTTATATCCCCTCTGCAGACGAGCTAGTTTTTAGGCCACGACTGAAGTGATGGAAGCAGTTGTCCAGCTAAGAGCAGCCAAACAGAGTCTCTGCCAAAGGCGTGTCCTGGCTTTCAGAGCTGAAGGAGTGACTCTCGAGTGAGTCACTTAAGTTGCTAGGGCAACAGTACTTCATACAAGGCTAAAAAAAAAACATGCTTTCAATTTGCAAAAAGCCTGGGAAAGTTGGACTGGGAAGCGCTGAGTGAACAAAATTTGCTTTATGAGATTTTAAGAGGACACTGGGGTGGGGCATCTCCCGGCCCCCAGCTTCCCTTTCCCTTCTGACATGTCAGGTCCTTCCCTTATCTACAGCGAGGGCACAGAGTCCACTCTGACACTTGGGCCACCCCACCAACAAGCAGCAGGGCTCCAGCTCTAACTGCTGTGCTGGTCAGAGCCGTTAGCAATGCGAGCGCTGGTGTCAGGCTATGTGAGAATCTCAATTCTGCCCCAGCCTAGTTATGTAACCTCGAGTGAGGGTTACTTAACCTCTCCAAGTCTCCCATCCCACAAATACTTATTAAATGTCATCTACGGGCTCAGTATTATATGGGGACATGGCAGTAAACAAACATGTACCCCGTCCTCCTGAGGCCTACACCCTAGTGGGGATCTGACAGGGTGAGGCAGAGCCTGCTGGACAGTATCTTAGTCCCTGTACATTCCTCTTCCTCCCAGGAACACAATCTCCCTGCTGGAGACAACACACTGTGAGGACAGACACGAGTCAGCATATGAGGGTACACAGGTAAGGGCTGTCACAGGTGGCTGTGCTTATGCTCTGCTTGTCCCCGCTCATAAGTGGCTTCTCCTGCCACCCACGGTGCTGTGCACCAAGGCTGCTCTTCTCTGGGGATGGAGTTGAAATCCTGAAGAGCATGGATCCCCAGGATCCTATGTCCTCAAAGGTAAGGTTGAGAAAAGTCATTTAGAACCTCAAATAAATAATAAAATGTATTTGAATACTTAGGACAGCCACTGCTATACTTTGCAAACTTGCAGATGAGTCCTGGAATGCTAGTACATTCTAATTCTATATTCCCTTTTCTTTCTCATCTTTCTTCTTCAGCTTTGGTAGTAGAAACTTGCTCTCGGGACCAGAAGTTGGGGTAACGGCTATGTTGCTGGACTCCCATGTAGTTGACCGTGGTTTGAGTCCCGGACCCAGTGGCTTAAATTCACACCGGGTGTGCCCAAGATCTTGAGAGAAGAATGGAGGAGAAGGGATTGTGGTGTGGCCATCCCTCCTGGGGCGGGGGGTGATTTCTTGCTCTCTGTCTCTCTCTGTCTCTCTGGCAAGCACATGTGCCCCACAGCAAAAACCCTCTCGGGAAAAAAAAAAAAAAAGAAAAGAAAAGAAAAAATAACTTGCTTTCTGCCACATACCAGCTTCTCCTTCTCCCCCTTCTTATGGTCATGGTACCCTGATTTCGTTCTGGGGAGCCATCTCTTCCCTATTCCCCTCAGGTGGTACAGGTAAAGCTGACTTCACCCTGGCTCCAGAACGTGGCACATGCCTTGGGCTTCCCCTTCTCATGATTTTGGTCATCATGACTGATCAAAGAATGGGCTATGTCCTTCAGTCAGGCCAACAGGAGCCAAGAATACTCAATGCCAGCTTCACTGTTGGAGCTAACAGGGAGGCAGACTCCTGATTTTTTGTTTGATTTAAACATGGAAAGGTGCAGGCTGGAGCTGCAGCTATCTTGCTACCATGAGAAGAGTCTGCAAAGGCAGCCGGCCCAGAGGAAGGTGGTGCTCAGAGACAAAGACAGGGCAGCTCATACCAGCAGTACTGTCCGAGCTCTGACTAAGCGACATCAGCAGCCACCCCTTCTCTTAGTCTTTTCAACTGAATGAAAAAAAAAATGCCCCTATTGCTTAAGCTACTTTAGAAGTTTATATTCGTCACAGGCAGCAGAGAAAGTCGAATACATTCTCTAGTTTCCCAGCTCACCAACAGAGTTTGACACTGAGACAGTCACTTGTCTCGCCAACAAGTACAAAAAGAGCCCACCTACTGACACTTGCAGTTCAGAGACTTTTTACTCTTTGTCCTGTTAAGCCTGACCAAGAATGGTGGCCTCCGTTCTAGGCTTGCTCACAGCAGAGCTGATATGTACTTTCTGTGAACATTTTGCCCATGGCTGGAGTTGTTTTATTGATCTAGGATTTTAATATTACTGGCAGTACTGTGTTACTTTCTTCCAAAAATCTATTCATTGGATAGTTAAGATAACAGGACTGAAACATCCCCCCGTTCTACTACATAAAACCAAAGAAGCAGTGAGTCCAAGACTTTTGAAAATATTATTTCTTTACATTTTTAGTATTTATCCTCCAAAAGTAGGTAATGTATTTAAGACTAAAATCTGGATGGTACTTAACATTAGTTAAAATCAGCAAGTTAAAGGAAATTGAAATTGAAGCATAATCAAAACAGGAAGACTCACCGATCAGGGACCGGATAGGATTGTCCTCCTCTTCAACACTTGAAAACTGACCTACAAGATTAGCTTGAACCTCCGCGTTTAATGTGGGTAAACCTCTCTCCACCAAGGTCTTGTTAATCTCAACACATGTTTGAACACCAACAGAATTCAGGACTTCCTTCAAGTTAAAGGTTCTACAATAGGTAAAAGGAAATCATATCAGGGAATGTTTTTCTTTTTCACGGGTTTTGTTTGTTTGTTTGTTTTCTTTAATACATTAGTTTGTTTCAGATGTTTATTAGTTTTCTCTTATAGAGGCAATAATTAGCCCTATTAGAATGAATTTAGGAAACAGTAACTCTTGGGACCAGCCGGTGGTGTAATGGCTATGTCGCTGGACTCCCATGTAGTCAATTGTGGTTCAAGTCCCGTACCCGGTGGCTAGAACTCACACTAGGCGTGTGTGCATGAGTGCCCAAGACCCCAAGAGGAGAATGGAGAAGAAGGGATTGCAGCATGGCTATTGCCCCTGGGGGGTGATTTTTCACTTGCTCCCTCTTTGTCTTTCTGGTGAGCGCATGAGCCCTATAGCAAAAACCTCTTCCAAACCACCCCCCCTCCCAAAAAAGTAATTCTTCCCAACCACCAATCTTCATATGTAGCAATTTCTTTTCTTTTATTGCCAGGGTGCACATGCACTTTCCAGAGAAGGAGAAAGAGCTAGAGAGAAAGAGGGAGCCTTCGATGGGGTGTGATCCCACCACGCTTCTTTTTCCTCCCTTTCTATATCCTACCAGGATTCTGTGCAGGCATGCACATGCCCCAGCGTGTTTTTCAAGCCACTAGGGATGGGAGTTGAACCATGGTTGGCCATGTAGGATTTGAATCTCTTAACAATTAAGCTTTGGGACAGGTCACTAGCAAATTTTTAAGTGTTTAAAACCATTCAGTTGTGTAGGTAGTGTTTAAATAGGAAAGCATAGGCAGAAAAATGTGGTTCCTGAAAAATGTTTGCACCACTGTTCACGTGCAGGGTTATGAGAAACAAACAGAAAACACAATGAACTGAAATCCTCTCATCTGAGTGTATTCATTCACACATTTTAAAAAAAGTGCTTGGGGGACCAGCAGATGGTGTAATGGTTACCTTGCTGGACTCCAACATGGCTGACTACGGTTCAAGTCCTAGACCTGGCAGCTTGAAATTCAGGCTGGGCACACATGTGTGCATGCCAAATATCCTGGGAGGAGAATGGAGGGGAAGGGTTTGCAACAAGGCCATTCCCCCAAGGGGTCATTTCTTGATTCCTGTTTCTCTCTGTCTCTCCAGGAAGTGCACGCACCCCCCCCCCAAAAAAAAGAAAGAAACAAAGAAACAAAGGAAGGAAGAGCTTGGAAAGTGAGGTTCAATTCATTTCTCTATAGCTGAGCAACCAAACAACAAATGAAGATATTCAGAGGTCAAATGACCTAAAACTCTTGCCTGATCATAATAAAAAAATAAGCTCTTTCCCATTACTGTTTTTAAGTAACTGATGAAAAATCCCAAATACAAGGGTACTTTATAAAAATTTGTAAAGAAATAGAATTAAAGTATGAGTCTCTTTTGGTACAAAACACTTAAACTCTATGCATAATTTTTTCATAATATACATTTTCCTTTATGAGGACACCTCTTAGAGAGAGTCCAAAAAAACTATGAAAAGCAGTTAAGTGGGTTATTTAACAGGTAAGGAAAAATGGTAATTTAATAGGTAAGGATGGGCTGGCCTTATTGCTCAATGGTTAAGTGCCGTGCATGGGAGCTTGATCCCACATAGTCACAAAGGTTTAGATCCCAGTCCTGGAAGCCTGAAAAACACATTAGGCATGTGTGCATGTACACTCAAAGTCTTAACTGAATGGAGAGATGAAAGAGGGTTGCAACATGGCAAGATCCCATTGGGGAATCCTTTCTCTCTCTCTGGTAAGCACCTCTTTTCCTTACTTAAATGTAAGTAAGGGAAAAAAGGTAATTAGAAAAAGCATTTGTTGGGTCCATAATAATGAAAATTATATTTTTACTGTCCAAAAAGGGTCATTAAGATAAGTGGGTGCAGAGGGACCAGCAGTTAGCGTAATGGCTATGTTGCTGAAATCCCATGTAGCCGACCACAGTTCGAGTCCAGACCTGGTGGCTTAAACTTATGCCAGGCGTGTGTGTGTGCATGCGTGCCCAAGATCCTGAGAGGAGAAAGGAGGAGAAGGGGTTGCGGCATGGCCATCCCCCCTGGGGGGGTAATCTCTCGCTTTCTGTCTCTCTGCTCTCTGTCTCTCTGTCTTTCTGGCTAGCACACATGCACTAAAACCCCTCAAAAAAAAAAAAAAAAAAAAGATAAGTGGGTGCAGGGGCCAGTGGATGGCATAATGGTTATGTTGCTGGACTCCCATGTAGTCGACCACGGTTCAAGTCCCAGACTTGGTGACTTAAAAATCATATCAGGTGCATGTGCATGCATGCCCAAAATTGTGAGAGGAGAATGGAAGAGAAGGGACTGCAGCAAGGCCATCCACCCTGGGGGGGGGGAGGGTGATTTTTCACTTTCCGTGTCTCTCTCTATCTCCAGCTAGCACACATGCCCTAGCTAAAGTCTCTCTCTCAAAAAAGAAAAAAGATAGGTGGGAATTAAAAGGTGAGAGGAAGGGTACAGTGGTAGGAGGCAGTGGGGCGGAGTGAGTTAAAACCGTAATCTGTGGTGCCATGCACCAACCCTGGCTCTACCCGAACTTAACTATATTGGCTCTCAGCTGATTGTCAGGCACATTGTAAATGCTTAATAAGAAGGAAAAGAGAAAAACAGTTCATTGTTTTTATCATTAACAGCAGTAAGAAATAAATCCTCATCGTTCTGCCTTTACCGAAATTTGTTCCACACACACACCAGACCTTTGGGGCTCTACAATCCAAGGGTAGGCTGTGGCAAAGTTTTCAATTCCCTGACTTTTTATCAACCACAAAGCATTGCCTTATCTTTCTTCTACTTTTAGTGAGTGAGTTTTTATGCTAAAGGAAAAGCCATTGCTTCCTATTCATGATAAAAGGGCAAAACTCTTGCTAGTTTTCAAAATGCATCATCAAACCAAATATAAATGACATCCGGGCCTACTATTTGGGATCATCTGCTTCTTTATATTATAAATGCTATTAACTCACTCATAACAAGGATAATTGAAAATAGACTGAATTAATTTCCTAACACAGGGGAAATTTTAACAAAACAATAAAATAACCAGACAACTATGCGTGTCAGAACTATAGAGGGTGATTAATATCTAAACAGTTACTGATAGCTAACATTCACTGAGCACATACTATGACCAAGACACCTGTACTAAGAGTTTCAATTAATCATCTTCTATTCGCACAACTTCAATAAAATTCACTATACACATGAGTTATTACTCGCTTTATACAAGTGAGAAAGTGAGGCGTAGAGTGATTCAGGAACGTGTTCAAGCATGTGTAACACGTCAATTGTGGAGTTGGGATTTAAACTCTGGTCTGATCTGTTCTGAAAGTCTGTCCTCTTAGTAACTACTTTTTGTATGCTTTAATATTTATGCAGCATTGCCTGTTTACTAAAGGCTTAATAAATAAAGTTTCTGAAAAGTAACAGCTACCTAGTGTGGGAAACTGCTAAGACAGGAACAATGCTTGGGCCAACAGGTGGCATGGGGATTAAAGTGCTGGATCCCACATGGCCAGCTACATGGTTTGAGTCCCAGACCTGGCGGCTTGAAAATCACTCCAAGCAAATGTGTGCGTGTGCCCAAAATCCTGAGAAGAGACTGGAGGAGAAGGGATTGCGGTGTGGCCATCCCCAGTGGTGGGGGATTTCTTACTTTCTCTCTCTCTTTCTCTCTCTGACAAGTACATGTGTACAATAGCAAAGTGAAAAAAAAAATGATAAGACCAATTGCAAAATCAGACTTTTTTGTCACTCCAGGTATTGGGTCCTACAATACGAAATAAATGATCATGACAGGTTAACACCAGAATCAGTAGAAACAGCAGGGCCTTGCAATAGATTTTATCAGGTAACCTACATGCTGAGTAATGGGTGGGAGGATGGGGATGAAAGAAAACGTCTCCTCAATGACAAGAATAGAGAGGACTTCAAGGAGGACCAGCAGAATGAGCTGACCCATAGAAACATCTAGCCATTGACGAAGATTAGGAATTTTTTGACTTGGACAGGATTTCTTACAGGATTATCTAAAAGCAAAATCCAAATGGGACCCTAGCGTTCAATGGAAGTATGGTATTGGACAAGAATTTAGCAAAAACAAATTTTAATTTTACTTCCATGATCAGTGAAGCCACTACACATTTCATAGCAGAGAAATTAAGGGGTCCAAACAACTGAACCTGAAAAGCCCTCTTTTTAAAAAAATAATTATGTAATTTCATTTATTATTATTATTAATAGTAGTGGTAGTATTTGTAATCCATCAGAGAGAGAGAGAGAGAGAAAGTGAGAAAGCAAGCTGCCAGGACCAGGACTCGAACTGCAGTTGGCCATTTGGGAGTCCAGAGCCTCAACCACCACATTACCTGTTAGCCCCTGAAGAGCCCTCTTTGATAGGGCAATTTTAAACACTGAGCTTGGTGGATTTCTGGTTTTCGTTTGTTCAACAGCACCATCAACAAAAAGCTCTTGCACACACCCATCGTCAGTGGAAACACTATACTCATCTTGGCACTTGTCATGGAAACCACCTCTCCCCTCCTACGGAAGGACATCTAAGCCTTTAGAGATATTAAAAGAAATTCTAGAAAAAGAAGGAGTAAGATAAGCTTCTCTAAAGCACAGTCCTGAATATCACATTCAGATATCCAAGGTTATTCTCATTCTTTGAAATGCATGCAGAGCCTTAATCCGAAGAGGAGCAGATACAAATATCTGGAACTTACTCTTTGTTCATGCCTTCCAGTAGAACAGCTGAAATCCTTTTTAACCTGTTTGTAAGCTCAGGCAGGCCTTCTGTAATAGCACCCACCATGTTGTTGGTAATTAGAGACAGGCAGGCAATAATTTTCAATTGATTCAGCTTTTCTGTCAGTTCCTGAAGACGTGTTCCATCTGTCATGAGTGTCTAGCATATTTATTTAAAATGTAAAAATAGAAAAGGAAGCTCAATATCAGGAAAATATAAAGTAAGCAATGTCATACCCAAATTCTCATTTTTAGCTGATTTCAGTAAGGTTAAACCACATTCAACACAGATCAGCTGACTCAAAGTTAGAACTGAAGAGTTAAGATATTGGAAGATTTGGGGAAAAGAAAATCACTCACCTCTGGTAATTCTTTTTTCTGATAATCCCACTGTAACAGTTTCAAGTAACTGTTATTTAGCACCAATGTAGGGCTCAGGCTTGGCTTGGAGCCATTTTCAGTCCCAGGAGTTAAAGCAGTCTCGGAAAGAGAAAGTAATTCTTCATTCACAGATTCTTTTATCCATTCCGCAGTCTGATCAAGAGCACCTAAGAGTGAAAAGAGTACATATATGTCTATGGTTGATTGATCCCTTCATTTCCATATTCCACATGACAGACGCTATGTTAGATTCTGGGAGTGAATGAAAAGACACAGCCCTGCTCCTCAAGAAGCTTTCAGTGGAGCCAGTAGGTGGCATGGAGGTTAAAACACTAGATCCCAAATGGTCAATTGCATGACTAGAGTCCTGGACCTGGCAGCTTGAAAATCACAAAGAGCATGTAAGTTTATGTGTGTGTGTGTGTGTGTGTGTGTGTGTGTGTGTGTGTGTGTGTGTGTGTATGTGCCCCAGATCCTGAGAGAAGAATGGAGAAGAGACTGTGGCATAGCCATCTTCCCTGTGGGATGATTTCTTACTTTCTCCCTTCTCTCTCTCTCTCTCTGGTGAGCACACACACCCTACAGCATAACTTGTTTTTTTAAAAAAGCTTATACTGGGATCAGCAGTTGGCATAATGGCTATGTCACTGAACTCCCATGTAGTCAACCATGGTTGGAGTCTGGATCCAGTGGCTTAAAATCACCCTGGGCACATGTGCATGCGTGCCCAAGGTCCTGAGAGGAGGATGGAGGAGAAGGGATTGCAGCATAACCATCCCCCCTGAGGGGTGATTTCTCACTTTCTCTCTGTCTCTCTCTGTCTGTTTGGCGAGCACATGCGCCCTATAGCAAAAACCTCTCAAAAAATAAATAAATAAAAACCTTATACTAGGGAATGGAGGGAGTAGAGGTCATTCAGGAAAGAGTCTAAGGGGAAGAGTTCTGTAAGACACTTGAAGACAAAAGGCAGAGAGAGAAAAGGGCTGCTTTCAGTCAATGAGAACAGCTCATTAAAAAAACCTAGAAAAGACAGCATATGGCACACTCTGAATGCTACCAGCACATCTTTATTGCTTGTCCATAAAGAGCTGGGGGAAAGAAGGTGGTAGCAGATGGCACTGGATGGGTAGGCAGAAGCCAGCTCACGAACAACCTTGAGGTTTGTGCAGAGAAGGCATGTACAGGAGGCACTGGTTATTAAACATTCTGGGCGAAATAAATGGACTCCCTTTGGGTCTATTTGGGGTTGGGCCTTTCCCAAAATGCATGCACATGCTTGTGAGTGCACGCCCACAAAAATGAGTATCTTTTTCAACATGGAACTGATATGATCAGATATGTTAATTAGAAAAGTAACTGAGTAAGAAGGATGGCATTCGTCGGGGGAAGTAGGCTGTTGCAGGGGGAAGTAGGCTGTTGCAGTAGTTTAGATAAAAGTGAATGGACAAGAGCAATGGAGGTGAGGGTTAAAGGGAAGGAAAAGTAAGAACTATTTAGGGGGAGCACCCATAGGCCTTGGGAACACTTAAATTAGAAAGTAAGAAAGAAGGATTTCAGGACTACTCCCGGACTTCCACCTTGGACACCTGGGTGAATGGCTGTGCCATCTGTGACACTCTGGGAAAGACTAGAGAGGTCCCGAACTACACCCTTTCCAGACCTTCCTAAAGCCACCACTGAGAACAATCTTCAGGGTGTCAAATCCAACAAACATGACTAAGTTCTTTTATATATCTAATAGCAAATTAAAAAAGCAATAATATATAAAATTAAATGATTCTTTAAGAAAAAAGAATAAAAACAAAAAGAAAAACAAAAAGAAACTGCCCAACGATTTTCCAGAGCTTACTCTTGCTTTAATGTTCATAACTGCAAGTTGCGATCATTTAATTTTCAGTAATGGCTGTGCTTACTACCTCACAACATCTTGTAAGTGTAGCAAATGGCTCCCAAGTCATTGCCAATCACATCCAGCCCGCCACTGGCCACCATCTCTCCAAAATCAGTTACTTGTCATAGAGAACCTAACACAGCAACCAGAGAGGTACTTTACGTTTATTCTTAAAAGTGGATTTGACAAGAATATGAGCATAACTCACAGGGAGACTGATCCATAGCTGTCTGTTCTACAATAGAGCTTAGAGAGCAATACAGTGAATGAGGAAGCAACCTGTGAGTGGAGTCAGATCTGCGCTACAGATGAATGAACCTCAACTGATACCAAAGCAATCAACACCTGACTATGAACCTGTGGAGAGCAGCCAATCTAAAAACACGTGATAAAAACCTGTGGCCTGTAGACACATGCAGAAATGCCCTTCCCTAAGCTACTCTAGCAGGGCTATCGAGAAGCATCTACATACAAAAGCAGTATTTGCCTGTTGTCAATGGTTGTCTTCCTGTTGTTGTTGTTGATACCCAATACCCCAATAGTGCCCAGTATTGGGCTAAAGGAAGTCACATGCATTTATCAGATTGTCCCTCAAAAAGAACAGAGAAATTATATGGTGCCAGCCCTTTTCACATCTTCAGAGGATTTACATCCAAAACCAACGGCTTTGCATTCTGATTTCTCCTCTATTTTCCTTTGCATTCCACTTCCTTCTTCCCCATTCCCTTTGTGTCCTATTTTCCCCTTCCCTCATTTTCTGCCCTTTAAAAGAATAAACCTGAGGCTGGTTCTGGTGGCAACTTCTCCATCAGAGAGGCTCACTCTTCTATACCTGCGTGTCTTTGTATGTTTGTTATTGTGTCTATTTCTAATCCACAGCCTTCCCTACTCAGAGAAACGTGTCCATGCCGAGCTGGTCCCGGCAGGAACCTGTGTTAGTCCCCGTTGCGGGGTAAATGGCTAGTACAGAGGCTGGGAGCATGGCCTCTGAGTCCCAAAGCCTCAGCCTAAGTCTAGCCTTTTACCATTCAAAACTCTGGGGGCTACTGACAGTCTTCTCATCTAGAAATTGGAGATGACAATCATACCTTCTGGGGTCAGCAGGTGGTGTAGTGGTTAAGGTGCTGGACTCCCAAGTGTCTGACCATGGTCTGAGTCCCAAGCCCAGTGGTTTGAAACTCACACTGACTGCATGTGTGTGCATGCCCAAAATCCTGAGAGAGGAATGGAGAAGGAGTTGCTGAGTGGCTATCCCCCTTGGAGGATGATTTCTTGCTTTCTGCCTCTCTAGTGAGCACATGTGCTCTACAGCAAAAATCTCTCAAAAAAAAAAAAAAAATTCTTGCACTTGTAAAGATTCATCGAATTGGGACCAGCAGTTAGCGTAGTGGCTATATCGCTGGACTCCCATGTAGTTGACTGTGGTTCATGTCCCAGACCCAGTGACTTAAAGAACTCATGCCGGGTGCATGTGTGTGCATGCCCAAGATCCTGAGAGGAGAATGGAGGAGAAGGGATTGTGGCGTGGCCATTCCCCCGGGGGGTGATTTCTTGCTTTCTGTTTCTCTGTCTGTCTCTGTCTGTTTGGCGAGTGTATGCGCCCTATAGCAAAAACCTCTCCAAAAACAAAAACAAAAAAAAAAAAAAAAGAAAAGTTTCATCTAACTAATACATGCCAAACATTTAGAACTGTTTCTGGAATTTAGGAAACATCTACTAACTGTTAACAACTGTTAGAATAACTCATTTAACTCTCCAAACAACTGTTAAAGGGGATTATTGTCTCCATTCTATTTATTTTGGCATCTGAAGCTCAGAGAGTCCCAGTCAGTTCTTGCCTGCCACACCACAGCTGCCTTACTGTTGAAGCTGCATCAGACAGACATGATTCTCCCACGGCACAGAGTGAGAGGAGCAGTGGGTTACTTAAGAGGTTTTGGGGGAACCTCTTTTTTTTTTTTTTTTTTAATGGTTACTGGAACCAGCAGATGGCGTAATGGTTATGTCACTGGATTCCCAGAGATTAACCACCGTTTGAGTCCCAGACCCAACGGCATGAAACTCACATCAGGTGTATGTGCATGCGTGTCCAAAATCCCAGGAAGAGAAGGGATTGCAGCTTGGACATCCCCTCTGGGGAGTGATTTCTCGCTTTCTATCCCTCTGTCTCTGTCTCTCTGGCAAAAGCACACACCATATACCAAAAATCTATAAAAAAAAAAAAATAGAAGAAAGTGCTTGAGGGAGTAGAAGTGGAATCTTAGCTTGTGAGAGCAGATCTCTTTAATGAAAATCCAATTTAAAACAGATATTATCTAGAAAACATGCAGAAACTGAAAGCCTCGTTTGCTTCACACGATGCCTGGTATTCAGCAGAGACTACTCCGGAGTGGATGACAGGAGGAGAGCAGTGAGGAGGGGAGGAGGTCACTGAGCCGAAGTCTCAGTTCATTAGACCTTAGAGAGTGTGTGATGATGTCCACTCGGGTTGTCCTTTCACTTTAAACACGTTTACTTCTCAAGTTGAGTTCTTTGGTATTAGAAAATATGCATCACTGGAAATGAGGCTTCATAACTGAATCTATTTCATTTTAAGCACATGGCATCGAATATCACAACTATATGGACTACAGTTATTATTACTGGGTGCCTAGTGGATAGTAATAGCAGAACTCCATTAATATTAACAATTTCCATTAACAAATTGAGGATGGAATTCTGACCATTTTTTATGTCCAAATTCCTTTCCAGAAGGCCTGGAGAGAGTCATGCCTACCAACATTAATGCAGAGTAAGCCTTCTTAAGCTCTGTTACAGTTTAATAAATCACGGACACTCTTTTGCTGATTTCTTCCCAAGACATAGACCTTTTCTTTCTTTCTTTCTTTTTATTTGGAGGTTTTTTTTGTTTTGTTTTGTTTTGTTTTTTTTTTTGCTATAGGGTGTGTGCACTTGCCAGAAAGACACAGAGAGAGAAAGCGAGAAATCACCCCCCAGGGGGGATGGCCACGCCACAATCCCTCCTCCTCCATTCTCCTTTCGGGATCTTGGGCAAGCACGCACACGCGCCCGGCATGAGTTTTAAGCCACCGGGTCTGGAGCTCGAACTGCGGTCGACTACATGGGAGTCCAGCGACATAGCCATTATGCCATTTGCAGGTCCCCAGACTTTCTTTTCTTAATCACCAGCTTAAAAGTTTCAATCTCACCTACAACCTACAAGCCTCTGCTTCCACATGTCCTTTCCGGGCCAGGCCAACGTAAAGGACTCCGTGT